GGCCCGAAACGTCAGCCTTCCTGCTGCTATGATGCTGCTTGGCCTGCTGTGTTCATCCAACTCTACACCTTGTTATCTCAGATTCTCCAGCATCTGCAGTTCCTACTATCTCTCCCTTTTTGAACAGCTGTGATACACTTGGTGTAGGTGCAGTACTGTTAGGGAGGGAGTTCCAAGACTTTAAACTAGTGACACTAAAGGAATATATTTCTGAGACAGGATGTGGCGTGGTTTGGAAGAGAACTTTCAGGTGGTAACGTTACGTGTATCTGTTACCCACATTCTTCTAGATGATAGTTGACTTGGTTTTAGAAGATACTGTGGAAGGAGCTTTGGTGAATTTCTGCAGTGTATCTTGATGTTGCTGCTATTCAGCCTTGGTAGTGGAGGGAGTGTAATTGATGTGGTGCCAATGGAGTGGGCAGTTTAGCCCTAGATGGTGTTGAGTGTTAGTCCTGACTTGTGCCTTGTATATGGTAGGAAAGCTCTAAGGGCTGGGGGTGAATTACCCACTGCAGCATTCCAAACTTCTAACCTGTCCTTGTAGCCAAAGCATTTACACGGCTAGTTTCTGATCAGCAGCAGCTCCAAGCCCATTGATATTCGGGGATTGAGCGATGATAATGCCATTGAGTGTCAACGGGAGTTGATTGGATTCTCTTGTTGGAGACGGTCATTTCCTGGCATTTACATGGCAAGAATGTGACTTGCCATTATCAACCCAAGGCTAGATATTCTCCATGTTTTGTTGCATTTTGCTATAACCTGCTTGGTATCTGAGATTTGCAAACAGTGCTCAATATTACTTAATTATCAATGAAGATGTACATTTCTGATGTAATGGTGATGCTAAAGTCATTGATGAAGCAGGTGAGGATTTTTGGGACCAGGACACTACCTTGACAGACTCCTGTTGGGATATCTTTGGCTAAGATGATTGAACTCCAGCAACCACAACCATCTTTGTATGTGCCAATAGTGAATAGTGATAGCGTCAAGCTACTTTTGGTGATGGATGTTGAAGTCCCCCATCTGGAGTACATTCTGAGCCCTTGCCACCCTCAGTGCTTCTTCCAAGTAGAAAAGTATTAATTAATCAGCTTTGGGGCTGATAATCAGTAGGAGGTTTTCTTGACCATGTTTGACATGATGCCATAAGACTTCATGAAGTCCAGAGTCAGACTCCATCAGGACTGCTCACCACTATGTCTTTGCCATCCCCCTGTTAAAATGAAATACAGCTGAGTTGGTGGATTTGTTGCACTTTTGTCTGCCATCTGCTTTCTTGTTCTTGCTTCTGCAGTGAATTTCTGTCATGTTCAGGATCAGAATCCGTGAAGTTGTCATTTAAACTGTGGAAGTACCTTCACCACCCAGACACTGCCAATTTAAGAATGGGTTCATCACTACCTTTTCAATGACATATAGGAACAGGAAATAAATGTAGCCTTTGGTAGCAATGTCAGTATCCCAGGAATGAGGTTATGAAAGAAAACTAGTGCAGAGTTAAAATCATGTCCATGCAGTGCCCTTTGGCTGCAGTGTACAAAACATCAAAAGTCAAATCTTGACATGGATGTCCTACATCATATTTGGGAGGTGCCTCTACCATAATGATCCCCCTTTTCACTAATCCACTTTTGCAGTTTCTATGCTGAGACAAAGTTCGTCTTTTGTATATTGTGATACCATTTGGAATGTGCATTAGTTTTCTTGTGTTTTGAAATCTAGGCCTCTATTCTCTAGAGTTTTGAAGAATGAAAGGTGATCTCATTTAAATCTACCAAATACTTAAAGGAATAGGCAGAGTTGACGCAGGGAGGATGTTTCCCCTAGTTGGGGCCTCTGGAACCATAAGGCACAATATTTGAAATAAGAGGAAAGCCACTTCAGACTGAGATGGGAAATTCGTATGCAGCTCAGTCATTGAGTATGTTTAAAGTAGAGATTGATGTTTAGAAATCTGTCAAAGATGTAAAGGGATGTGGGGCTAGTGTGGGAAAAGACATTGAAGTGGATGATCAGTCATGATTGTACTGAATGACAAAGCAGGCTCTGGCATGAATGACTGATACTCCTATGTTCTTTGTTCACAGCTTATTCTCAGTTATTTCTTTCATTACATATTCTATCAAATGTAGAACACTCCTAATCTCCTTTATTCAAACATTAATAATTGTGTCACAAATGAAACCATTAAAATCTCTCCAGTAGTGAAAAAATACTTGATGCTCTGAACCTCCAACTAATATTGTTATAATCCTGCAGGTTGAAATTTAGCAAATCGAATGCATTCTGATCTAACACTAATAATTTTCTTTTCTTTTTCCTGATTTGAATTTCTCCAATGATGAACTGTGCAGCCAGTAAAGGTAAGAAAATGCATTTCTTTTTCAATGCTTTATGTGTTAAGATACTTTTTGGTCCCTGAAACGCATTGGGCTGATGCTGTAGCTTCTTAGATGCTTGTTAGCTTCTGATATGACAAGAATCATTGAAAGCTTAGTCAAAAAGAAAAAGGAAGCATTTGTAAGGTTTATGAAAATGAAATCAGCCAAGACCCTTGAGGAATGTAAAGAAAGCAGGAAAGAATTTAAACAAAGAATGGGGAGGACCTGAAAGGGGTCATGAAATTTCCTTGGCAAGTAATATGAAGGAGAATCCAAGATATTTTGTACATACAGTTGGAGCAAGAGGATAAGTAGGGAAAGGGTAGGTCTACTCATGGACAAAGGAGGGAATTTGTGTGGAGCCAGAGGAAGTGGGTGAGGTCCTTAATGAGTACTTTGCATCAGTATTCATCAAGGTGAAGGACATGGGTGTTGGTAAGATTAGGAAGGGGAATGTTGGTATTTTAGGGTATGTTGATATGGTGATTGTGTTGGGTGTCTACATTAAGGTAGATAAGTCCCCAGGACCTGATGGGATCTATCCCAGGATGCTTGAGGGAGGCAAGGAAGGAGATTGGGGCATCGAAAGAGACCTTTGAATCCTCTTTAGCCACGGATGAGGCTTGAGAATAGCCACTGTTGTTCCTTTGTTTAAGAAAGGCACGAGGGCTAATACAGGAAATTATAGGCCAGTAAGTCTTAAATAAGTTGTTGGAAATTATTGGAGAAGATTCTTATGGACAGGATTTACTCACATTTGGAAAACAGTGTACTTATTAGGGATAGTCGGCATGGCTTTGTGCAGGTGTGACCTTGTCTTACAAATTTGACTTGACTAAAGCATTTGACGAGGTCCTTCATGGTCTGATTAGTAAGCTTGCAGAGTACACGAGTTGGAGGAGTTGTGGATGGTGAAGAAGGTTGCCAAAGGATACGGCAGAATATTGATCAGCTGGAAAGTTAGGCGGACAAACGGCAGATGGAGTTTAATCCAGACAAGAGCGAGATGATGCATTTTGGGAGGTCAAATGCAAGAGGAAAATATACAGTAAATAGTAGGACCTTAGGTGTACCAATTTACAGAGGGATGTTGGGGTGCACGTCCATAGCTCCCTGAAAGTGGAAACACGATGGATAAGGTGGTAAAGAAGGCGTACGGCATGCTTGCCTTCATTGGTCGAGACATTGAGTATTTTGAAGTTATCAAGTCATATTACATCCGTATAAAACTTCAGCTTGACCATATTAGAGTACTTTTTGCAGTTCTGGTCATCATGCGATAGGAAGGATGTGGAGGGTGAAAAAGAGATTTATCAGGATGTTAGATAACAAGGTGTAGAACTGGATGAACACAGCAGGCCAAGCAGCATCAAAGGAGCAGGAAAGCTGACGTTTTGGGTCTGGGCCCTTCTTCACACTCACCTTCACTGGCACCATCCCCGCCTCCCTGACCTGTCCGTCTTTTCTCCCATCTATCACCTCCTCCCACCTCAATCCCCACCCCCACCTCCTACCTACCAGCCTCATCCCAGCCTCCTTGACCTGTGCGTCTCCTCTATCTGCGCCTTTATCCACCTTCTATCCGCCTCCCCCTCTCTCTCTCCATTTATTTCAGAATACTCTTTCCCCCCCCCCGCCCCCCACCATTTCTGAAGAAGGGTCTAGACGCGAAACGTCAGCTTTCCTGCTCCTCTGATGCTACTTGGCCTGCTGTGTTCATCCAGCTCTATACCTTGTTATCTCAGATCCTTCAGCATTGGCAGTTCCTACTATCTCTTTATCAAGATGTTGCCTGGATTGAATTGTACTAGCAATAAAGAGCAGTTGGGCAAACTTAGATTGTTTTCATGAAAACTCCAGAGGCCCAGAGGTGACCTGATAGAAGTATAAATTATGAGAAGCATAGATAGGGCGGAGTCTTCATCCCAGGGTGGAAATGTCAAATACTTGGAGGGTATAGATTTATGGTGAGAGGGGGAGAATTTAAAGGAGTTGTGCACTGCAAGTTTTTTTTACACGGGAGGGTGGTAGGTGCCTGGACGTGCTGCCAGAGGAGGTGGTCGAAGCAAATGCAGTAGCAATAATTAAGAGGCTTTTAGACTGACGCATGAACAGGCAGAGAATAGAAGGAAACATGCAGGCAAATGAGATTAATTTAGAATGGCATTGTGGGCTGAAGGGCATGTACCTGTGTTGTTCTTGGGCAGACAAAAGCTTTAAAAAGCAGTGCTTTCCTGCACTGTAACTGGGCAAGTTTAAAAACAGATTGTCTATCATTTATTCTTTTGATTGCAAACATGAAAAGAATGACCGCGTGTTTAAAGCAACTTTAAAGATGCAAATAGCCAATAAAATGAATGCCAATTTGATGAACCCATTGGGCAGAAAAAGCTTCAATCTGCACATATTTAATGTAGGAGGGAGCTGGGCCAAAGTAAATCAGTTTTGATTATTTCCCTAGTCCCTGAGGGATTACCTAATTTACAATTCTGGAACTGTTTCATATTTATTCTGTTTTTCCTGGATATCTTTAACCATTCATTGCAATCTTATTGGTGAATATTTATTTAGAACATCTTTATTTAAATGCTCCACTGCACTGATTGTTTTGCACAAAATGGTAAAGTTTAAATGGAAGAAAATTGGTCCAGACTTTTGCCTAATTATTGCTTTTGTCTTGGCAACAAATGACAAGCAAAATTGGATGCTGAGGAGATGTTTGTAATCTCAATTTGTATTATTAGTTTTTTGTTAATGGTTTACTTTCAAGTTGTGGGGTGTTGAGTTTTTGTTCAAAGGTGCAACTTACTCACATTTGTTGTATTTATTTCTTGGAGAATGAATCTGCCTTTACATGACAAAATAACCAAAGTGCAAGTGGTTAAGTTTCATCTAAGCCGGGGAGGGAAATTCCTTTCATAGGACAGTCTTGCACTGCTCGTCCTTTTGAGTAAATTTGGGGCTTCACACTCATTTTATCATTTGAAGTTTTGACACAAAATGACTTTGAGCTTTTCATAGTTACTTGTGGAATGTGAATGCAATCCAAGTCAACCTTATGTTGTGGCTCATAATATATTCTGTTTATAAAACAAGTAGTTTATTTTAGATTTTGCAATGGCTGTACTATTTACAGATGGTGAAAGTTGTTTGAAACAGGCTTGTAAAGACATTGTAATATTCCACTGCACTTCCACATCTTAACACAAACAACTTTACATTACTGCTTCACAATATCTTGGATTCGTCTCAAGAAATTTAGTATTGCACCCTGGAAATTGCTCTGTGAAAATACATACTTAGCATTGCCGTGGTCATCTTTTTATTTGGTATTTTTGGGGAGAATTCTCTCTTTAAAATAAACTGATTAACGCTTACTAAAATATCAAGTAGAAGAATTTCACATGGTGCATTATTACGAGTTTGTGTGATTTAACACAACGCAATGTTTAGACTATGTTGTAAAGAAAATGAGAGATTTGGCTGTATTGTGCTTTGGAAAGATTTCAAGGTTATTCCATAAATTTAAAAATTTAATACTAAATTGAACTTCACCCTAGGAAAGGGTGGTGGTCGGGTGTTTGTAATTAAGAGGTGACAAGAGTTCAGTTTAAGAATGAGCTTCATTCTAGGGCCTGAATGTCTGACACTTGTGACCTGTTGGTAATATCTTCATTGATTGCCCTGTATTAAAACTAGGGTAAACTCCCTCAATGTTTTCAAAGCCGCTTCTATGCCTGCTTTCTCTTTGGAGGCTAAGCTATTGCATTTGAACTTTCATTGAAAGAACTCCACAGTCCCTTATCCAATCAGTAAGATTTATAATACTTAAATGTACCTCTATTTTGCCAATTTGCAACAGAGAGCTTATTGTTCACTAAGGTCACACACTGTTACCAATTACTCCAATATATTGGACTGCAGAGTTCAGTACATTATTTATCAAAATGAAGCAGCATATTCTTGGATTTTTGTTCTGAAAAGAACCTGTAAATGTTTCATATATACTATAGAAGTATCCTGGTTTGTGTGAACTTTGAAATTGCTATTACGAAGAATTGCAAATTTTACATTAACTGAGATGATTATTTGTACAGATTTTCACAAACAGGATAGCCAAAGTATGATCTCTTTCAATCATGCCCACCCTCCCCATTATACCCACTTTTTTTTTCTTGGAATGGTAAAAAAAATTTATTTCTCAAAACATTCTTTCTCTTATTGATTGCGCACTGCACCAGGGAAGTAGTAGACCCAGGAAGAAGATGAAGTGGAGTGGATCTTGAACTGTAAAGAATTGTGTTTCCTTTTGAGGTGATTTGAAGTGGTTGGTGATTTGCTTTCCTCTATCTCGCACGTGATATAATAACCTGTGCCTTGACTCACCCACGTTCTTTTTCTCTTGTTGCTACAGTGTGCAAATTCAGATCGCCATGGTGAACTAAAATTCTAGTTTAATTCTAATTCTAGTTATCCAGTTGATATTGTCATTTCACCACCTCTCCAGCATGCCTTCCTTTCCCTCTCCCCTTCAACCATAAAGTCTCTGGATTCTTTTACGCACATGCACCTCCTACCTTCCACCAACACCTGTCCCCACCCCCTTTAAAATAATGCATGCTCGTACTTAATGACGTTGCAGTGGCAAACTAGTTATGCAGCTTGGCTAGTAACCTGGAGAGCTGGACTAACAATCTAGAGATAAGTTCAGATCTCACCATGTCAACTGTGAAATTTAATATAATAAATCACTCATTTGAGGATAATCATCACAAGATGACAACATTGAGAATTATCAGTAACGGTGACCACGAAGCTGCTACTGGATGATTGTGAAATTCTATCTGTTTTACTGCTGCCTTCAAAAATGGAAATCAGCTGCCGTTGCTACCTGATGTTAGACCCAGAACAATGCTACTCCTTGTTACTGTCCTCTCAAATAGCTTAGCAAACTGCTTAGCTGTTCTTAAGATCTCAGATTG